GGCATTAGTGGTGAATGGCCTGGAGCATACTTCGCACACATACGGTTTGATACCCTTATGAGCGCGCAGATGCGCTAGCAACGTTGTCGACTGCGTAAAGCTCTTGCTACAGATCTCACAGAGGAACCTCTTCGAGCTATCGGTCTCCTTGTTCTTCTTAAAAGTGCGATCATGCTTAGGTAGATGGTTATTGAGCTGCTCCTCCTTAATAAAACGTTTGGAGCAACGAGTGCACTTGTATGGTTTGATCATGTTGTGTTTTGCCACGTGAATCTTCAGGTGTTCCCGCCGATAGAATTTCTTCGGGCATATTTCGCATAGATACTTCTTGCCCTCGTGAACCTGAATGTGTCGCAGCAGGCCCTTCCTAGAGGTATATTGTTTGTTGCATTCGGTACACTCGAGCCCCACAATATCGGTTCTCCTCTTCCGAGTCATTTTATCATTTAGTTTCTTTTCTTCGGATTTTGGCTCGGTGTCTCTCAGATCCTCCTCTGTTAGGATACCCTCAGTGACGTGTTTGGCCCTGTGCTCGCGCAGAATATCATTGTTTTCGAAACTGTCGCCACAGATGTTGCACTTCCTCACCTGATCAGGATTCTTTTCCGCGCACTTATCGTAGTGCGCTTTCAGTTTGTCTTTTCGATAGAATTTGATATTGCAGATATCACACTCGAAGTTTGGATCCTCATGTAGTAGTTGATGGCGCAGTAACGACTTCTTCGTACTGTATTGCTTCTTGCACGTGCTGCATTCATGGCTGTCTACTGGCCAGTCGAGACCACTTTCAAAGTCGGAGTTATCGTCATCATCGTTATCATCCGTATTGCTCTTCTTCTTCTGCTTCTCCGCCGCCTTCTCCACTGGTTTCTCTGCTTCCTTCTTTACATGTTGCTCCATGTGCTTCGCCAACGCTTGTTTCGAGCTGTACCCCCTATTACAGGTCGCGCATTCAAATTCCTTATAAATGCGCTTCTTTGCGCTGCGCTTAATGACATAATGCTTGTCCAATTTAACTTCGTAATCAGTATTATCATCGTAATCTTCGAGACCATCCTCAGTCTTGATCTTGTCGATGATCTTCTGCGCTGCTCTCGCCGCCACGCGCTTTATACGCTTGTTGGGATCGTATTCCTGTCCCTGTATAAATGTCTTGTGATTTGTAGCAACTAGATGATTTCTCAACGTGAGCTCGTTGCCGAAGGTCTTGTTACATTGGGTACATTTGTAAGTCTTCACTCGTGCATGCTGCTCGGCATGCCTGCGTAGGAAATCCTTCCGTGCAAATTGTTGACAGCATATCTTGCATTCGTAAGAATGGGTGTCGGAGTGTGTTGTCTGCATATGTCTGGAGAGCGCTTTCTTGCGTGAGAATGTTATTGAACATATCGAACACTTTAGTTCCTTCGTAATTTTGGCAGATTCACTGTTCTCTCCATCTTTGGTGTTCTTGCTGTTGTCATCATTCTCCTCGCACTTGGTCATTTGCTTCATATCCTCTTCCAAGTCTTGCTCAGTGAGTACGCCTTCGACCACATGCTTTGTTCGATGATTTTTTAGTTGTTCTAGAATATCGTATTCCTCGTTGCATACGCTGCACTTGAAGCTATGCGTGAGCAAATGTTTTTGCAAGCCTCGCTTTGTATCGAATTTTTCTGGACATTTGTTACACGTAAACTCCTCAGTAAAACTATGCTTTTTTTTCTTATCCTGATCATTGTCGCTTGCATCGTCGAAAACTATACTTCTTCTCTTTTGTTTTCTACATTCAACATCCGATTTGTTGCCGTTATCTATGTCTAGACTGTACTCATCCTCATGAAACAGCTCAAACGACATCGAATCTTCTTTCGCTTCCTGTCCTTCTCGCTCGTGTTGCTTAATGTGTTTAGTAAACGAGATTATGTACATATACTCTTTACCACAATAAGGGCACTTGTTGGCTTTCCTTCCTGATTCCGGCGTTTTCACGGCGGAAACACTGGTCTGCACCTTCTGCGGTTTCTCCGGCGTTTTCTTCAGAGACAATGTTTTCCTTACTTCTTCATGGGAATGCATATGCTCTTTCAAGACGCTCTTTGAAAGAAACTGTTTATCGCACAAGTAACACATGAAAAAGATCTTCTCTGTCTTATCTGCCTGTGCTTTTTTCAATCGTGAACTGAGATTCAGATTTTCAAAATAATTCTCCTCATCGGAATCCCGTTCGGTGAATGTCCGACGAGCCAATCTACGTTTACTTCTTCTAGTTTCATTCTGGGGTGATTCTTGTTCTACGACTGGCTCATTAGTATCATTTTTGAATATTTCATTCTGTAATAATTCTATTTTTTCATTTTGATTTTGTTCAGTTTGATTCTCCTGTTCAGCTTGAGCATTTTGAACTGGAGTCTCTTCAGTTTGCTCAGACAGAGTCTCGTGAATTTGCTGAGTTGGAATTTCTTGATTTTGTTCAGCCTGAATGTCTTGGTTTTGCTCAGATTGATTTTCTTGATTTTGTTCAGATAGTGACTCTTTGTATTTCGTTATATCGTGTTTAAATTCTGATACGGTCTCCTGCATTTTTTTATGGAAGGAGAATTGTTCAGTATGCAAAATAATACACTGTTGCTGCATTATATAATTATGTTCATCTGTTGGAATTGTATCTGTGCAACTTCGAATAATATTCTTGTCGTGGGAAGATACTTCATCCTTAGATTCATCGATAGCATCTGACATATCATTGTCTTCTGAGCTGGCTAATTCTTGCTGCAATTCTTCCTCAATGCTTTCTTGCAAGTTATCTTGTTCTGAATCTAAACAATAGAGTCAATATTATAAGACATTCGGAAACTTTAAAACTATTATATATTATAAAAACAATATTTAATTTAAATTTTAAAAGATCATTGTATCAATTACATTTTACTCACCTTGTTGCATATCATCTGTGTCTGCCAATTTTTCAGCTTCCAAAATCATTAATTGATTTTTCAAAAAGTTCTTGTCAGTTTCTGTTTCAACTGGTAATGTACCAGTAGATTCATAATCAGCACTGTCATTCATCTCTTCCAAACCATTATTCTTCTCGGCATCCAAGTGTATTTCAACCTCATTAAGAAACAATTCATCCTTTATTATTCCTCCCACAAGCCTTTCTCGAAGAACATTGTCAGCTTGCTCCACTTGTAACTTAAACTCGTATGCCGATTCCAACTTGTCGGCGCACATACAGCACACCTGTGTTGGTAAACCGTCGCCTGGTAACATCTAATCAAAGCATACAGTTTAGTATCTTCAAAGAAAGTCCTTGTCATTGGTTGTAAAAAAAAGTTATTTCAAAATTTTTCAGCAGAAAAAGCAGTTTTGCAACTGTTGTAAAATTCTTTAATATGATTGGTCTTGCCCTCAATTCCTCATTTGATCTAAATCAATAATATCAAGAATTTTACAACAGTTGCAAAGCTGCTTTTTATGCTGAACGCACCCATTGCCAGTGATGTATACATTTTTACTTGCATGCCACATACCTCAGTCCTGAGCATAACAAATAATTCATTATAATATGTATTATTCTGTGTGGCATTTAAGAAAGTAATAAACTTGTTCCATTTAGATAAACTTCTTCTTGTTCATGTTTCTCTTTTTTCTCTCCAATGTGGAGGGACAAATAAGAAAGATGAACCGTACAAAAAGTTCAGTTAAAAAGAACAGGCCTCTTATAACATTTTTATAATGGCAGCGAAGGTGTTAGAGGCTAAATGTGCAAGGTTCGATATAAACCGAAACTTATCATTTTAAGCTGAATAGAAAGATGGAAATGGCAAATTAGAGGATCATCGACGAGAGAAATCTAAATCTGTCTGGGATTAGAAGAGGGAGAGCGATAATAAAAGCGGGGCTTTCGATCACATCGGCACCTAACCTTCAAATTGTGCATCTAACCTTAACGTTGGCGAAGCTCATCGCCTTCACAGATAGGGACGCGACCTCGCTCTCTGCGAAGAGATCGCGCATCATCAGATTGTCGAGCAGGCAGACGCGGCATATCTTCATAGCGGACGTGATCGCGTCCTCGCCCTGCGGCGGATCCGACGTATGTATCGCCACGGCGTCCATGTTTTGCTCGGCGAACTGACTTGGATCGACTTAGAAACGAATCAGGTTGTTCGGCTACGTTCTTCCTCGCTGATCCGGCACACCGTCTTCTTTCACCCACCATTAACTAAGAGGTGCGGAAAAATATGATTTTCTTTATTACATCGTTTTCGTTTCGACATAACGAGAAGTCGATACGTTCAGACGTGTGAAGGCTGTTCTCGGTAACTGCACTATGTCATACTTTCTGCACTTGAAACGAAATGGGAGCATAATTTAAGACGTTGGAAAGAGAAAGAGAGAGAGAGAGAGAGAGAGAGAGAGAGAAAAGGAAAGGTGGAAAGACTGGAAAGTGCGAAAAATATAAATACAAAGAGTAACCATATATCCCAGGCTAAAGAAGGGATCGCAAGAATTTGCGAAAATCGTGATTTCTTGAAATTATTATTTTTACGATTTTTAGTTATTTACTGATTTACGATCTTAGTAACTTCTGGGGATTTTCGAAAGTATCTCCTCGCTGACATGTGAATCTAGTAATTTTTATTAATTTCCGGGAGATTTTTTATAACTTCTGGCGATCTCGTTTCCCTTCGCAAAAGGAATAAATAGAAGAAAAAATTTTTTAAAATTTGTTTCAACTTTTTTTTATGTCGTGATAAAAATTCTGGATAAAATTTAACATTTACAATTGAAATTTAAACCTTATTAATGTAATTATTATATAAAGATATGTGCAATTGATATTTTCACTTATAATTATATATTGATGTAACCATCACCTTAAATGTTATCAATTAAAAAGTGCGTTAATAGTCAAAATTTAACATTAAAAAAATATAGGTTGGTTCATAATTCTTTTCTTATAATTAAGACGTTTGAAGTATAATCTTAAGATGTCAAACCAATGAGTCGTATTAGCATCTTAAGATACCACTCAAGACGATCTTAAAATAAAAACGAACTATAAATATCTGGCTATAGTCTTCCTTTATACCTCATGTTGCCCCGAGGTTAACTTTTGTATCTTATTGTCTGGAGATCGAACGCTACTGAGTTTTTGACGCGATTCCATGATTAAGGATGCATCACCGCCACCAGATATGGCACATTCACTCATCTTCTCTGTTATCGCGGATTTGCTCAAACAACTTTCCGTTTCTGGGAGTCTAACAGTCTGACTTAGTTTTTCTACGATATTTAAAACCAATTCCTTGTTTGCGCTTTCCGAAGATACGTTTTCTACTTTTGAGAATTGGCATGAAGAGAACGTTGCATTTTCCGACGTGGACGATAAAGTTATCTTTTCTAAAGCAGCTGAAATGGTTTCCAATGTAATCACAGTTCTTATTTAGATAATCTCCTCAAGTACATTACCTGTTAAATCCATGCTCTCTTCGGCTATATCATAATCGATGTGAATGCTAAAGCTATCTCTGCTAAAAAGATGTTGTCTAATGCTAGATAGATTCCTAAGAGACATCTCATTTTTAACGGTTGCCTCTGTTTGTTTGACATTTTTGTTTTTATGGGGTGTATACATAATAGAGTGCTCGCTACGCAATGTTTGGCCGTTCTTTATGTAAGGTATCAAATATGACAGATCCGACGGCTTCTGCACTGTACTGTTTGCCGGTTGAATAGACACCTGTGATTTATGCGTTTTTACTAAAACACAAATAAGACTTGATGTTAATTTAAAAGAATATAAGCGACATATACAAAGAGTAGAAATTCTCACAAACCTGTATAAGGTGTTCTAATATAAACTAGACTATTTTCATCGCGTGGCAAACCATAAATTGTGGATGGAAAGTTCATGGCATTTGATATGCTACCTGTAATACACGGATAATTCCATTAGCTTAATTTTTCATTGATAGTGTATTAGCACCTACTTGCGTAGTATACTACAGAGTAAGGCGTTTTAGTAAATATCATTGAACATTATGTACCATGAATGGAATCTCCTTGACCTCTCACAGTTTTTTCATGCGTTGTATTGTTCATAATTGTAGCTAAAGCAGGCTGTAATCTTTGAACAACATTCAATATTAATTCACATCGTTTTATCACTCGCAATTGCTGAGGCTCCGTTGCATTCTCCACCAGAAGAGTTTTGGCAGCGGCGTTAGCTTCAAATATAGCTATAATAAAAAGTATGTGCACAATATGCACCAGCAAACTACATATATATTTTAATTGTAATAATACAGAATCAGTTACCTGCTTTCAATTCTCTTGTCATCATTATCATTTGACGATCAATGTTTTCAGTGCCAATGTCATTTACAATTGCTGTGACTTGACTAGACAAAGCTGAAGCACGCTGAACGATACCTTGCACTTGAAGTTGCGTTACTGGTTCTCTGTTATCTAGACAATCCGAGATTGCCGTTATACGTTCTTGAAGACTATCCATAACTACCTGAGTATAAAAAATATATTCAAGTACACTCTTAAAATCCTTATCCTAATCTTTTATAATTCATTATATTTACTTGACAGAAAGCAGCCGAATTTATAATGAGATTTACAGCATTCTGAAACTTATTCATCTCTAATTGCCACTGCATAGTTAACAGTTTAACACTCGAACGCATTTCTTTGTTATCTGGATGTAAATAGAAGGAAATTATCGCAGAAATTAATTCAGTTTCTAAGGATTCGAATCCTGCGAGACAGTTACGAATTTTGTTATTACCTGAAATAATCAAATTTATATGAGATGTTTTCTATTGTTTAAAAAGAATGTTAAAAAATTTATGAAGAAGAGCAACTTACGTTTCTTGTCTTTGCAACAAGCGATCGCAAATATTCCAATTTGCATAGTTTGATCAAAGAATTGGTCAAAATCCTCTATGAGATCATTTAAATCACTTTTTGATCTTCTTTTCGCGCTTAACGAATTTCCGCACGTCATAACAAATTTTTTCAAAGTAATATAAGGATTGCTGAATACTTCCATTGCGAGCGTTAGTACCGCTATATTGACTTTACGTTCCAAACGATAAAGAGCGTCGGTCAATGTATGCATGAACAAATTATTTAACGCCGGATCTGGGGTCTCCGAGAGTAATTGCTGCTTTAATTTTTCGTACTCCAACACTATGGATTGACATGAACCAGTTATGGCTTTAAAATTATATGGCTGACACACTTGGGTAATTGCCATAGCATGAGAGAAGACGTCCTCCAGTCTCAACCACAGTTCCGCACATTCAGATAGCTGCTGTTCATGCGTTTTGCTCGGTATTTCTAATATAACGTCTAATGCCAAATCCATTCTACAAGTATATCAGAATTATTTGTGTGAATGCAATATTAAATATAAGAAATATTTATTTTCTCACCTATAAACGAAATGATTCTCCCTTTCGCAAGTTTCCTTTTCCAGCGATGGATTTGAGTCATTCATCAAATTCAATATCATTTCACAACAAGTGCATATTCTTTCACAAACATATTTCTTGCAAGTCTGTACATATTTGTTCAATATAAATATAAAGTAGGAGCTTAAATTATGCAAAGAAATAAATGTAAAATATATAGTTTATTACATAAATTGGTGCATTTAACTGATGCTGCTCCTGAGCCAGTTGTACTAGCATTTCAAATGATGTGCATAATTGAGAAATATATAAAGCTAGATTCTGCGACAGAAAAGCAGACGCTAAACTTTTTCTGTAATTCTGTAGTGGTTCGAGTATCTCTAATATCGAAGTGCCTAATTCCTAGTTTAAAAGCACAAAGGGAATTAATATTTCACATTAAATGATTTCAATACACATTTCAATTTTTTATCTCATTGTTACCTTTATATTTTGAAGATCCTCAATTTCGTTTGCTGTGCTCATCTCTTTAACATAATCCAGACAATCTTGAAGCCTCTGCTTTAATGGCAAGCATTCTAAATCTTCCAATACTCGTAAAGCTGATGTAAAATTATTAAGCAATGATTCTGTCTTCTGTCTGGCTGCATTGCTATCAATATTATCGCATTTAATATCCTTAATCTAAAAAAGATAATAAGAAACAAAAGAAAACAAATGAAACTCATTTAATAGGAATAAAAAACAATATCAAATATTACAAGATTCTTTTGTAACTTACAAGCTCATCAATATTTTTCAATAGAGAAGTATATTTCAAATTTGTTACTGTATCAGCAAATTTTACATTTGCTTCTTCACAGTCGCAATTATCATCACCTAAATTATTGAATCTCTGAGTTAAAAAATGTAATTGTTCGTGGAGTAATGATTTCGTAACCAAAATTTCTGATGGATTAATAGAAGCAGTGATCAGCAATAAATACAATTTGTTAATCTGAAAAGAAAATAAGAAGATTGTGACTTTCGTACTCAAGCAATAAGTTAACTACAGTCTCTAGAATTTTTATATTTTGCAACGTAGAGTCTACGTATTTTTCATAGCTGGCTTGTTAAAACGCACAACTACTAAATCGATCGAAAATTAATCAATTTGATTACTTGCTGCTCCAACAGTTCCAGCAGCTTCCTCGTTTGTCTCGTCTTCAATTCCATTGTAAAATTTTATTTTTCAATTCCCACAGCTTTTTGAAACTTCAAAATTCATGCGTCTCAACGGCGAAATATAAATAAAGTGAATTTAGTAACTAACCAGGCATGGCAACCAACATCTGGCGCTAATATCACAGGAAATATCTGTTCCTTACGATTGCATTGAGCTACGCTTTCTGCATCTAAAACGATAGGGATCTAATTTGCATTAGAGATAAAAAGAAAAAGGACGAAAAAATTCAAAGAACGGAATTTGTGGATTAGTTCAATTACTCTTAACCTAACCTATTTTTTTTTTTTTTTTTTTATATATAACCTGATTGACGAGACGCGCGAAAGAATCGCGTGAATGCAGTGCAAGTTTCTCTGACGAACATTTATCTTTCTTCTTTTTTTTGGCGGACAGAGATTTTAAAATAAAATCTCTACAAGTTCTGCTTCGAGTTTATTACATTTAAAAATAAATAACATTTAAAAATGTTCTCCAGTGGCAGAAAAGGCGAGATGGAGATAAATGTGACGTTGGACGAACCATGGACCAGTGATTCGTGTACAAAAGTTGTGATGGAGCTCATAAAATATATTCTGTATCAAAAGCAGCAGATACCCTTAACGTACGAGGCGTTAGAGAGATTTCAGAATACAACAGATAGGAACGCAGTCTCCTTCAAAGCTCTGTCGAGTACGCTGAAGAACGTTGAGGATCATTTGTCCTCGCAATTCTTCCTCAAGGGTTGCGATATGAGAGAAGTTGCCATAATACTTGGCGCTACGATACTATCACCAAAGTTCTACATTGGCATAGACCTTCCCTCGTATGTTCTCAACAGCAAGCAGCACAAAGAGTATCAACATTCCTCCAGGAAACCGCTTTTAAAACTTATGAGGTTAATAAAGAAAAATAATGATAGAATGCGCTCATGAATTTATATATCGAGACACTTATACAGATTATTATATTTCTAGATCTATTTTTGAATGCGACGAGTTTCAGAAGGCTATGAACGCTCCTTTAAACATGACAAACATGTTTATTATGCTGAAGAAGAGCGACAATAATTCAATATCTGATTTCTTTTTACCTAAACCACAATATGTGCCGCCTGTACAAACAGCAGGTTGCTTCAAGATTAAACTATGTCAGAGTGATCAAGTAGAGATACAGTGCAACTGTAGGACACTTGTTAAAGTGTATCATGACTCGTGTAAGGCTTACTTAGAGAATGAAGATGATGTGCAATATACTCAATATAATAATTCTACTCAGTCTTCCTATCGATGGTATCAATCAAAACAGATCATAAAAGGATTTAAGTTCTATTTGTGACCATAACTTTGTAGCATGACATAGCAGAATTCAAAATTTTTATAGATTAGGATGATCAATTTTTTTTATGATGTTATAAATAGATTTATATTATGCATATTCATTATTATGTAATTACGATCAACGAAATAATATTAAGCACTATTGATATATATATTTTTACTACTGATATTGCATTGATGTCAGTATGACTTGACAAATATCTTGAGGTCACATGATAGAAATTTCCAGTCACTATCAAAGAGAGCAAGACATTTTTCTTTATCAACAAACATGATAAGTCTTATAATACAAAATTTTGTAATAATTGTGATTTGTAAAAATTGCAGTATAAAATTATGTAGCAATAGATTTTTTATTGATTAATAGATATTTATATTATAATTAAATGGTAAGATAAGAGTATTATTGCCGATTTATTATAGGAAAAATTTTGTAATTGCTATGAATATTTTATTTTGTATACATAATTATAATGTTAAATATTTTTTTCCTTATCAAGCTGTTTTATTTAACAATTAATTGTTACATCACTAATCTGTCTTATAAATTATTAAAAAATCTTATAAAAGGATAAGAAATGTGCAAGATGATGTTTAGGCAACAATGATTATACATAAATTCAAACTTTATCATGTTCAGATAATCCCTCCCAAAGAAATATTTTTAGGGTAGGGCAAACTGTATATTAGTCGTTGTCGCGAGACGCGACATGGCATTATTTAACTCTGAAAGAGAGATTATTAACATTTCGCATAAAAAAGTTTTGCAATTGAAAATGGTCGCTTTGAAATTTTTAACGCCGGAACAGAAGCAATTTTGGGAAGATAATGGTTACATCAAGTTGAATATATATTCTACGAAGGAAATAAACGAAATATCAGATGCCTATAATGAATTATTTGAAAGAAAATTTCGCGAAAATCTGCAGGGTATGGAGTCAAGATGGAGCGGAGAAGATATGAAGAAATTGGCTGGAAGCATTTCTGAAGATTATACTGTAAGTGAACTTATTACAGTCGTTCTGTAAAACTTGATTTATTATAAGCAATTTATTGTTCGAAAATTAGAATTACATACATACATATATTCATGGTGTCTCACAACCATCGCATTTCCTCTTAAGAACGTATTACATTCTTGAATTTTGACACGAAAATACAAAAATGTCGAGGCTATAGTTTTTGAATTACAATTGATTAAAGATAGTATGTAATTCGAAAACTATTATAGTCTCGATATTTTCGAGTTAGTTATTAGTCGATATTTTCGTATTAGGATTTTCGTCTTAGAATGTTCAAAAGAATGCAGAAATAATAATAGAGCTCTAAAAGTAAAATGGTTTTTTACTTATAAGCATTTAAAGTTAGCTTATAATTAAAAACATTATTGTAGTCTCGACATTTTCGTATTAGAATTTTCGCCTCAAAATTACCTCAAGAATGTGTCCTTAAGAGGAAATGCGGTAGTTGTGAGACACCCTGTATATACAAGATTTTTTTTAATGCACTTGAATTTCTCTGAAATTGAGAATTAAGTGCGATATATTGAACCTGTTTAACAAAAAAAAAAAAACAAACGTGTATTTGATCTTAATGCCTCCCCAATCAAGATTACAAGGTTCAGATAAATTTAAGTGCATTGATCAAAACACCCTGTATATTATATTATATTATATTGTACATATTCTCATTTATACATCAGATAAAATCAATCCACAATTTGCAAATGCACAACGAAATTTTTACTCGGACCATAACTCACCCGAAATTATTGGACGCCCTTGAGGATATCATGGGCACCGAGGACATAATGTTGCATCATACCAAGGCGCACTTAAAGCCGCCAGAGAAGGGATCACCTTACTTGATGCATCAAGACTATCCTTATTTTCCTCACAAGAATCACACTATGCTGGCTGTGTTTCTACATTTGGATGATACAACGCCGGAAAATGGTGGTTTGGCGATATATCCTGGCAGTCATAAACTAGGACCGTTGAAGGATATTAAAGTAATCGATGAACGGGGTGATCCTATTCACTATGTCGATCCTAAGGAATACCCTTTGTCCAAAGCTACTCCCATATCTGCCAAAAAGGGTGAAGTTGTCTTCTTCTCTTACCTAACACTTCATGGTTCGTATCTGAACTTGTCTGATAAAACTCGACGCATGTTTCTCATACAAGTGAGAGCTGCCGATGATGAACCGACCCTGGACGTGCATAATTCCCCTTGTCAAGGCTTGATGCTTCGGGGTAAAAATATTTACAAAGACGCATTGATGACCAACAGATATAAATATTAAGCGAATATTCACTTTTAAATCTAATTGAATAAATGAAGAATGTTTTTAGCTAAATTTTAATATGTATAAGCCTGTACATTCAATTATTTTTCTATTCAACGATTTTCCTATTGCTATATCCTTCCTTATTTTCTGAAACTTTATTTTAATCTTACCGAATCTCAAAGATTTTTCTGAAATCATTGACTGATATATATCAAATTATTTTAATAAAGTATCTCTAACACATAAACCAGGTTGTATACATCACTCATTGCAATATAAAGTACTTTCCTTCAAAAAAGTAATTAATACAAAAGTAATTGTCACACTCTCTTGTATTTTGCTCGTTAAAATGGAGGTATTGTCAAATGTTTTGTGTTTCTCTTTCACAACTGCGAGGAAAAAATTAAAGAGCAGCGTGAGAGACAATTCTCGACGAAAATTCATACAAATATTGATTGCTGTCAGTTTTTTCAGATATTTTTTTAACAAATAGCTGTGTCTATTTTTATTGTTACTGTTATTTGCATTCTGACGTAGCCGTTTTTTTTTGTACATGGAGAACAATTAAACGATTCTGAACGTGCAAGAGAAAAACAAAGGACTGAGTTAAAATCTGCGGTGATTTGGCAACAACAATATTGTTCACGTTATTTAATTGAACGGTGACGTA